TCTTCCCCCAATTCTGAAAAAGATCACACTTTCAAGAAGAAGCTTGGAAGAAAAAAGAGAACGAAAAAGCTCCGAAAAATGGCAACTTCCTCCCCCCCGCCTCAAGATCCGGACCCGCTGAACCCGGGTTTCGACCATCTTCCGGCCGCCATAATCGCCACCGTCATGTCGAAGCTCGATATCCCCTCCATCCTATCCCTCGCCTCCACGTGTGAGGCCTGCCGCTCTTGCACCGCTCAGATCCTATCCTTCCTCCCCAATTTCCATCTTCCCGTAAGTTAATCGTCTAAAGCTGAAGAGAATCTGATGAGGGTTTTGCATTTCCCGGCCTGAAAGTGATTTTTTTTTTTCGCTAATTTTTCATTTGTTGGGACTGTTTGGAGGATATCGCGCCGTCGATCGATCTGTTGAGGCCCTTGCTGCCGCAGACCAACCCATACTTGAGGAGCTTGAAGTTGGACTGCACGCGCTTGGACGATTCTTCTCTGGATTTGCTCCTTCGTCCCTCTTTGCAGGAGGTTTCCTTGAAAAATTGCGCTGATTTTAGCGGCAGGCTGCTGTCACATCTTGGCCAAAGTTGCAAAGACCTTAGGTTTGTCACTTTTTGGACCTTTTTCTTGTTGGAAAATAATTGTAGTTTGGTTTTCTGGAGAAGGTCGATGAACGAACCACGATCAGATTTTGAAGTCAACTTAATCGAACTTAATGAACTTGAATGAACAATTTCTAAGAAAAGAAACAGAATAAATGAGAATAGAGTGAGCCTTGTTCGAGTTCTAGCATGCCTAGTGCTTGACGAGCGCTCGTTAAAGCCCGAATGCTCCTAAGTCCAGCTAACTTTGAACTACTTAAAATTCATTTTTTCCCACATTAGAAGTTATTTCTTATTCACATACAACAATGGCTTTGAGAATTTTCTAAGTCTTCCATTTAGGAAAAATGAGGAATTTGTCAATTGCAAATGGAGCTGGAAGAGTCATTGTTGACAATTCTCCTCGCATAGTGCTAATAATGGACTAGATCAAAGTGACTCAATTAAATTAAATTCTAGTGCTTCTTCTATTAGTGGAATTTCTAGAAAAAATATATATATATCAAACGACGCAATGCACCTTGGGTCGCTACGGAAACAGCCTCCTTGTATAATTACAAGGGTAAGGTCTGCGTACAACTGACCCCCCCAGACCGTTGGAAATATACTGGGTATGTTGTTGTTGTTGTTCCATATAGGAAAAATAAATTCGTAAAATCAGTACGAAACCAATTTTACTTATATTTCTTACAAACTTCCTTTTCCTATGTATAATGCGGCTTTATCTGTGATAGTTTTGCTGCGTTTAAATTTGTTTGTTTGCATGTTTTAGGAAGTTTTCACCTTTATTGGTGTTTGGGTATAGGTTTTGATGTATGAGATCTATTGATTGCGGGGTTTTAATCACAGGTTTCTGTACTTGAGTTCAGTTGCAGAGAAAAGGGGAAGATCAATTGACGCAGTGCATCTTGAGGAATTGCTCACTGGTTGCAGTCACTTGGAAGTAAGGGGTTTACCGCCTGGTTGACCAGGCTATTTGTCCAACATTAATCTGGTAAAACATAATAAGAAGAAAAAGAATAAGACTTCGCAATGTAGAAATAATATACCTTAGTAGTATGTAGAATTCTGTTTTGTTTGTGGAGTAGAGTGTTTCAAACTGGGGATGGAACAACTATGGCATAGTTTTCTGCAACAGTCTCATTCTTGATGACTTTATCTGCTGTCTATGTGTTTTCTGTTATTTGTGGTACATTTTATGTGTAATCATCTGAGTGAATCAATGCTTCAAAATTCATGTTTTTTTTACAATAGAGTGCAGCTGCCACTTTGCCAATATTACAGAATCACCCGCCACATGCGTTTTGTCCAATTCATTCCTTGTATCTCTTTTTTTTTTTTTT